GATGATTACGTGTTTGTGGAGATGTCTTACCTGTATTTGTAAATTGATTTATCTTTAATCAAATTACAGAAGTAATTAATTGTTTTATAACAGCTTCGGTTTAGTTTTATTTAAGTTATTGATTTCATCTTTTTCGCAATTATAAAATGTGTATGCATGGGTGGTCAAAACAGTCTGAGAACTTCATACAGATCTATAAATTTTTCTCTGATTTAAAGGAAATGAAAAAAACAACATACTATCATCATTTGTTTTTGTAAATAGTAAACGTTTTCACTTCATGAAACTTGCTGATTGAATTCATTGGTTTGTTGGTAATGCGTAAAGAAGGAAAGATTGTTTGGGAACTTTGTTTGGCTCGTACAATGATATTTTGAGTGGTCAATAGGATCAGACTTTTATAATTTATCGGAGAGTGCGTTAGCACTCTGTCGGGATGGCACGGACGTCCGTACTAAAGCAGTACAAAGGTCATCAGAAGCCAGAAATGAAGAGTTACCTGGCTTATTCGCTCTATCTCCGGCATATATGTCGCATTTCGGCTATCCAGACCGTACCAAAGTCGAAAACCGGCGAATAACCCGAACGAGCCTTCTTATTTTCGTTCAGCATCATCTTTCTTCAACAGGCCTAGCGCTTACCTAGCAGTAACTATAATTTTATCACCATTTGAAAGAGCAAAACAAGCTTAACGGTTTTTAACTGCATATTTTATTATTCTATGCAAAATGTATAAAACTTTAGAATACACTCTACAGCCTAGTAACCCGTATACGCCATCTTGTAAAAACTTGTAAGGGAAAAACATAATCGCTAAATAAAACACAATGTAGGACTGGCTACTGAACTTGAAGAAAAGGAGCCAAAGAAGATGGAGGTGGAAGTGGACATATCACTTGATTCGTCTAATGTCTCGACTTTACATGGAGAATAAAATCCCCACACTTGTGGCTTCTTCACTGACAAAATAAACAGAACCAGAATTTCCAATTGTAAAATGTTATTCTATTGTAAAATAGTCATAAAAGTAGTATTCTACAGTTAACTAAAGGAAAGGTCTAGTGATGAAAGCTGTGGTTCTATTCAAACACCAAGGTTTCGTTAGAGAAAGTGGGGAAGCCAGTAATGTGGGGATTTTATTCTCCATGTGTAAAGTAGAGACAGCTTAGTCTACTCTGTGATCATTAGCTGATCAAGTGATATATTCACTTCCATCCCTATCTTGTTTGGTTCCTTTTTTCAAGTTCAGTAGCCAGCCCTACGTAGCTTTTTTATTTAGCGTTATTTTTTTCCTTTTAATCAAAATGATGAGGAAGAGTTGTTTGAACAACAAAAATTGTATTACAAATGCAACGTGAAAGAGGAAACACGGTGTTTTGGCCAAGCGACATTTTGTAGATCATCATCTGAAGTTACATCTGTTTTTATGTATTTTACGTCAATATTGTTTACCGTCGGTCTAATTATATTCATCGTGAAAAAAGAATTAAAACAGTACAATTTTAAGCAGTGTCTGATTAAAAAAAAAACAACAAAAAAACGATATTTCGTGTTTTTATTACCTTTCGTGATGAGACTGAAATGCCCCCCAGTGGCACAGCGGTATGTCTGCGGACTTACAACGCTAGAATCCGGGTTTCGATACCCGTGGTGGGCAGAGCACAGATAGCCCATTGTGTAGCTTTGTGCTTAATTACAAACAAACAAACAGAGACTGAAATAACACTATCAGTAGTCGATCCTGACGTTTTTCGTGTACGACCACATCTTGCAACGGATTGGCAAATATCCAAATTTTATCCATGTATATCTCGGGAGTTGGTGGAACTAACAATGTTAGCTAAACCGGTTGTATTTATTAGTGCACATAACCATGCGATTATTTTACTTAAGTTATATCTAAAATTAATAATTAGCATGCAGTATCATTTACGAAAAATGTTGGCAAAATTCCTGATAAAAAATGTTAAAAATAAATCATTGTTTAAATGTTAAATTTTCATTTAAAATTTAAACCACCAGAAGAGGTAAAATAGAATAGATCGAAATATTCAACATTTTTGAATGCAGTTAGCTTCGCGTGCTGCTAAACTTTCATTAATATCGCATTTTGATCATTTAGTAAACACCATTTTCCTGCGTAATTCATTCGATATTCCCGAAGTTAATCTGGTCATCGTCTCTGTGGTATGTATGTGTACGCATCCAACGATATCGTATCGAAAGTATTACGTTTCTTTAACGTTCCTAAGTTAATTAAACCCTTGCTTTTCTTAATTTTTGTTATTTGTTGTTGTTTTAATATTCAACTATAAACGGTATTAATCTTCACTGTCGCGTTGTAAAACTCGTCGTAACTGATGGACTAAGAGCGAATCGATCTAAGACTGCAGTTTAATTTGTATTCCCCAGTTTCTGACACTGCTTTTTCGTTTAGTCTTTTAGTGCACGGCAGAGTTATAACCTCGGAGTGAGAAAAAAAAAGGAAAGACAACGTGGATATGGCATAACATAAACGTACTCTAATTACTGACCAATCAACGTCCTTACAATACTCGTACCCACTACTATACTTGTCCCGCCCTCCCCTTTAATTTGTCCACGTAATTCGCCCTCCGACGCGATGAGTCATAGTTTAATATTGTGCTATACAATCTTGGATTTGGCCTGGGCATTAAGCCTGTTAGTTTGTAGATCTCACTGCACAATATTACGCACTAACTTCAGTCATTGGAAAATGTACAAGTAGAAATATATATATATATATAATTAACAACTGTGTGGTTGCTTTCTTCTATAAAAACTGTAATTTCCAGGCTTACCAAAGCTTTGAGTTCATTCACAAGTGGGAAATTACCAGTTGAAGGTGATTCATCTCTAACACATAGTTGATGAATGAATCACCTACATTATTGTACCCATAGTTTTAGACATCTTGAAAGGTTAGAGCAACCACAGTTTATATAAATATTTGTTTGTAAAGCCTACCCATTTCTTCTTGCATTCATTCAGGAAAAATCAGCTAAGAAAAATTGTAGTAAAATCAAAATATCGTTAATCTAGAAAAGTCAAACGTTTGATATTTTTGTCTTTTTATGTACTTGGAGAAACTATTTTCAGTTTGTATTGAGGTTCAATGTATTGAACTTTGTAGTGTGTCTTTGGCCCAAATATTTCCATGATGTTAATATTTTTACTGTCAGAACTGAAAAAAAAAAGATAAATGATGTGTGCCAAAATTGATGTCTGAATTGGACTATGAAATAATCAAAATCATTTTATTTTCATCCATGTTGTTCTTAGGAGATGATAATAGGTTATCAATATATATAGTTTATTAGGGTTGCTATTGCAAAATGCGTTTATTTTTAAAAATTAATGGTATATTTGAAATTTGATATATCTGTGAAAACACTATATATATTATAAATCAAGTAGTTTCATTATTATTATCAGTATTATTCAACTACTAAATTGGAATCTATTCTTGAATTTAAAAAGATGTGTAGGGAAGGGGGAGATGTTTTGCATGGCCTATAGGCTGTCTTCCTAATCAGGGGACGTTATATTTTGAAATTAACACCAGATATTTTTCTGCATGTTTAAGTCTTGTACTCAGTTTATAGTAAAAAATTTTGTAGTTACATTCATGGGCTTTTATCAATATCTTTTTGATTTACAAAGCTGCTTTCTCAAACTTCTATCAGTTTTAATTAAATATTGTGTTAGTGGAATGTACACATTATACACATTTTTTGCATTTGTTGTACAAGATATGGTATTGTGCTCACTAATATATCAAAGTTCTAATATGATACGAAAAATGATTTACAAACACATCTTGTAAAGTTGTTAACTGTGTACTAGGGCATTGCATCAATTTTATTAAAGTGTACTTATGTCTGGAATCTGAAACTTATTTGGCAGTCAGTATATTCGTGAGGTTTCACGGCAGTAAGTGTACAGTAGTGTAAATTTGTCTTGGGATGATACTTAGAGAAATATGAATCATAAGGTTCTAATTTTTATTATAGGGAGTAGAAGTTTATATTCACAGAAAAAGGTGTGTAGTTATAAGTTTAACTTAAAAAAAAACAACAACTAAGAACAATGAATGTGAACAAGCTTTATGTAACCACTAAATCACTATTCTGCAATTATATCCATTCTTTTAATAAATATTGGACACATTATACATAAATTAATTACTTCTTTTTTTATAGGCTTTCTTCACCTCTAAAAATTGTCCTTTTATCCTTTGAAGAGATGAAATATATCACAATTTCAATTTTTTGTGATTAAGAAGTTGAATGAGTGCATAAAGCAAACTTTTCTCATGCAAATGGTGTTTTAGATCTTCTAAACATTTGAATAAAACAATGAGGCAATAAACTATAAAAACTTGCTGATTTTATTGGAACAGTATTATGTGAACATTGTGATAATCAGGGTTGGATTGTGATTTGTGTATATTTTGAAATTGAAATTTTTCAACATTCTCAAAAGCAAGTGTACTGAATATTTTATGGTTTAAATTTGATTTTTGTGAAAATCATTATATCTCAGCTGAGTAGTTTTGACTTTTAAACTGTTTAAAATCTGCTCTTACTATTAAAGCTTCATTAATTTTTCCGTAGGGTGGTTTTCAGCATTTCCCCAACCAGTTGTTTTCAACAGTAATAAGATTCTTACCCTTAACTTTTGTACTTAACCTCGTGTATGTATATAATCAAGCTGTTTTAGCAATGTTGTAGCTTTAAGTGAAAAAATCCATATATTTTATTTCTTTATTAATTGACAGTTACAGCCATGATGGATAAAAAATATATACACATACACTTTTTTCTTTCAACCAAAAATTGAGAAATTGAATACTTAACTAAACATTTTTTTATTCAAGTAATTTGTGATATAGGGGTGGTTGGGGGTGATGACTTAAATATCTTATTGATATCCTGCCATGATGATTAATTTGTAATTGTTAATTATTCAACTTGCAGGTGGTGAGTCTGGCAGATTTCTTTGGAGAAGAGGAAATATTTATTGCTTATGGACCTGAAAAATATTCTCATGATGACTTTGACCTTGATTCTGAAGGTTAGTACTACTATAGAGGATTTTGTTACAGTACATATAAATGCAGTTGAGTATGTAGTTTGTATTAACTGCACTTACTGCCTTTATAAACTGTTTTTTACATGTACTGCTACTTGATATATTGTTTATTTTATAACTGTTAAGTGCTCGTTACTATACCTTAAATACATTTTAATATTAAAGTCACAAGTCTGTTGGAGTGATTAAATAATTAAAAACTTATTCAATGACCACCATTCTCCAGTACTTGATGCTTACCTATGTAATAGACATTTACCTCTGAAAAAGCTTAAAACTGCAAGGAATCACTTTAAAACGTATCCCATAATGTCTCAAATAAATAATACCTTTTTTCAACTTGTACCTGTGGCTTTAGCATATGGAAAATTATTCTCCTGTAGGAAATTAAATATGCACCATAAATTTATTTTGTAGATAGAACTGAAGGTTGCTTGTGTTATCTTTAGTATTCTGTTTCTACCTGTCTTTAGCAAAGTAATAATTTGAAGAATTCTTGTTCTTGTAATTGTATACAGCATATGCAATTTTTATAGAATATTTCTATTAGTTGTATATACTTGTTTTCTTTTAATGCTTGAATATTTTATTACAGATCTCGTTGTTTGGGAATAATGCTTCCATTTTCAAAATGTTTTGTACAACCCTTTATCTTACTGCTGTTGCGTTAGTTATTTCATTACCTGTATTCTTCTGCTTGTATAAAGCTGTGCATAGTTGGTGGTTAGTTTTATATGCATTTGTAGACACTAATGCTATTAATTTGAAAGTAATTGTTGAGTCTGCACATTCAAACCTGTTAACTGCACTTGTTTTAGAATTAAGTTTTCTACCTATTGAAACTTACAAATAGCAAAAGATTAGCTGTGTAGCTTCTAATTGCATTTTCTAATAATAGTATTTTGCTAGAGTTTTATATTTTTAGATATTTCAAGAAAACGTGAGTTCTCGCATACATGTAAGCTAGCAGAAGTGAAACTGTATTGTTAATGCTCGAAAAATATTAATTCTGTAAATAAAAAGATTGATAACTTTTGCAACTGTGTGATGTATAATAATTTTATGTCCAATAATAGTGTAGTGTGAAAATGTTTTAATGACATATATATCATAATAATTAATAAAACTTCTAACCAAGTGTTAACTTTCTGGATGAGAACCAAAATACAGCTTATAAGTTAATCAAGACAATTCTACACAACAAGCTTGATTACAAGGGCTTAGTATTATAAATCAATATTTTAGAACACTAAAATCTATACTGAGGAGAATGCATTGGAAATCATCAGTTGATTATCTTTACCGTAAACAACATTCTAGGATATTGTTAGTGAAATTAATATTTTGGAAAAAAAAAGGAAAAAAAAACAATAGTTCTTTATCATAAAATGTCTTGTACTTAAATTTAAAAATATTTAGAATTTTATAAATTTAATTGTAACTGAAACAAGTAAAATTATTTCCAAATTTTAAGCGTGTGTGTGTGAAAATAGTTGTATGCAACTAGTTAGTTTTTCACTGTCCATGAAACTTTGTATATTATTTATACAGGGGGTAAATTATCTTCAATTAAAGTGAAACAGAATTTTAGATTCTCAGCATAAGAAATTTTCCAGTTACAGGGCATATATTCCAATACATCATTTTTGGTTGTAAGATATTTTTCTTTTGAATACCATAAGTTACACACTTTGACTACCGGTATATTATAAAATTCCTCTTCTTTTAACATTATTCATGGAAAGATTTTATTGCTTTTTGTTGACCTTTTCCTTTTATTCTTTGCACTGCTCATGGTGAAGGCATTTTGTCAGGACATCATTTATTATATCATTCTTTATTGTTAGCCTATTACATGTTTTCAGAATTTTGTTGTTTGGCTCATTTTAAGTTTTGTTTATCTATGTAAAATCATTGGTGTACTTGAAGCTTGATGGTTAGCTTTTTTCCTCATTTCTAACTGAGGCAACACTTTGCTGCTCAAGGCTTTTCATCTAATAGTTCTTGAAAATTGTTTTTACTTTGAACTTACTAAGAATTTTTTTCTCTTCAAGTGTACTTGAATCATTAGTAGTTTGTTATTCATGACTGTGACATAACATTTGTTTGTTACTAGTGTTATTGTTTCTAAATTCTGATTGATCTTTTCCTTGAATTACATGAGTATTGTGGTAAGGCTGAGTGTTTTCTTTTTCTGATGGTTGCACTACCTCTGAGTCAGATTAATAACAGGATATACATGTCATTGAAGTGTTACAACACTTGCTAAAGTTGTGTCCTGTGTAACTATTCTTCTGTACTTGAATATTGGCCACTGTAATCATGCTTTTGATTAGCATAAAGGCAGATGTAGTAGGTTAGGCTAGGATATTTTAAAAACAGTATAGATCATTTTAAACTATCATTTGTTTATGGCATTGATTTCTTTTGTTTTTTGAGAAATGAATTTCAGATACTTGTTTGTATTAAAGTCAAATGCCAGTAAGTAAATTAGAGCTCGGCAATTATATCAATTAATTGACATAATCAATTAGTGTCACTTAGCATAATCAAAAACAAGTGTAACTAGTGTTACTTGGGTAAGATTGTTTTGTTTAAAAAAATTATTGCAAGTTAATATTCATTATTCTCTATTCACTGAAAACAATTTTATTGCTGAATAACTTGCTTATTTAATCGTGTTTGTCAGAAATTATCTGGTACCAATAAAAAAAGCAAATAAGATTCTGACTAAACTAGTAAGCCTTATGTATGCTTGAAAATATTAGTTATTGTTACAAACTAGTTGAGAGCTATGCTCTTCATTAATTTGAAATACAATCTGTTTCAAAATATGCAATAATTTAATAGTGTTGAAATCAATATGAAATATAAGTAAACAAAGAAAACCAACATATTAACAACAGCAACCCCAAGAGAATTTGGTGGGAAATCCAAAAAAGTTCATATTTCAGGAGAAGCAACACTTTTTTTGAACTTCCTTTAAACACTAGCCCTATCCCACTTATTTTGTAGTACAATATTTGTAATACACTGCAGTTCTTCCCTCACCATAATTAAGGTACAGAACTTGTTGGTTTACACACACTTGTCATATATGATACATATTAATTACATTTACAGTTCTTTATGTATAATGTAAGATTTAGTGTTTTATTAATATTTGCTACTTTTTGTGTTTAATTTTCCCGAAATTGCTGTTAGAAAAACTCAAGAAGAGATATGGTATACACACATGCTGAATATTGCATACAGTGTCAGAAATTGGCTTTTACCCATCATAGTCCAAATTTAGATTATATCAGGTTGTAGTGACACAGTACATATTAAATGATGTTGCAGTTACATGTACTTCTGGGCTGGGTATGGCTTAATAATTATCATACCTGGACTGTGAATTTGAGGATTCATGGTTTGCAACCTATTGCCATAAAAACATACTCCACACTTTGGGGCTGCAATTGATCTAAAAGAATGATGATAAATCCCACAATTCAATCAGACAAAGGTAGTAAAAGAGGTGGTGTTAGGTGCTGTTGACTGGCTGCCTTTCCTCTATTCAGTCTGTCAGTTCAAAATTGGAAATGGCTATTCATAGATAGCCCTTGTATGGCTTTTACACAAAGTTATTAAATAAATGTGTAATTTTTAGTGTTATATAATGCCATATTATTAGGAAGCTAAACTTGATAAGTAGATTAAAGGTTACATTTATATCTCAGTTGCATAGGATAATACACTGACCTAATCATTTATACATAAACGTTTTTCAGAATTTACATGATGATTTAATATTCTTGTCTAGAATGTAGGTATCTCACAAACATCACTCGGTCATCTACAATGAACAGAAAGTTGAGACGAAGTATTGGAAATCCTCTGTCACCCACTCCGCAGAGACGAGTTTCTTCTCCTGCACATCACCACGAATACTTTGGTGAGGATTTTTGTTTATGTACTGTCTGATATCGTTTTAATTACTTATCTTCCATATTATGTTTCCTCCCACACTTGGTTTTCTTTTAAATATTGGATACAATATTTAGAAGACGGTTCAAGTTTTTGAGCAAAGTTCCAAATCTTTATCTGTCTGCATTGTCTTTTCTGTCTCTTAGCATAACAATATAATGCAAATTTAGTCCTAAGTCTTTTCAGTTATAATTTATGGTATGTTCTTCTACATTGATATTTTTAGGTTCCTAGATTAGTTTCATAATGGTTTAATGTGACAAACTAAAATAGTTTTCACTAACTAGAATTGGGTAATTTAACTGATCACCTATGAGCAGTCATTACGTCATTTAGTGTCACTTATTTATTAATAGCAAGAAAATAACCAACTAATTAAAATTGGTTACAAATTTTTTTTTTTATTATTTGAACAATTAATTACTTGAAATTACAATAAGTTGTCATGAAAATAACCAATAGTTGACATTAGTATTTCTATTTGTAACTGGATATAATCAAAATTGTTTTTGTTTTAATAAAATGTGATTGAGAAATTTTCCTGGTTAGTTTTCTTTAGCATATTTGTTCTGTGTGAATCTAGCATGTACTTGAAAATAGTTACAAAAACTTATTAGGAGATATTGATACAATCAATTTCAGGTGAGTGAAGGAAATATTAACTTGAAAAAAAGTGTTGAGTATTTAGCTTTGAAGCTCTACTTTCTGTTTGTGAGGTTTTTGTTCCTCTTTCGCACACAAACCGCCATTTTTATCTTTGAAGACCTTCATGGTTGGCATAACTACATCATTTATGCATCCACATTATGAATTAATTATCTGTATCTGTGAGTTCTGATTGCACTATTAAAGTTTGATAACCACTACATTTGTAAGTATTTATAACTCAACACAAGCCTGTAAGTATGGTAGACTTGTGTTGATTTATAAATACAGTTTACTGCAGTTGCCAGTCTGTGATTTGGCTCATTACTGATCTAAAATTAATTGCAAACTGTAGAAATTAAGTTATAGTTTAAATACATGACAACATTTGGTTATTTAATCTGTGTTTCTTTGAATTTTAGAATCTCCTGTAACCAGTGGAAAGAGTTCCCGTGCAGCTTCACCTAAGTCACCCCGGCAGGTCCGCCCAAAATCCCCAGTGGGTGAATGATATTTACTTGTGCTAAACAGAAATAAATGTAGAACTTAATTTTAACCTTTTGTTTGTCTATTAGCGAGGTATCAACCAAAGACTATCATATAGTTTATACTGACGAGTAATCAAATAGAGATCAGTGGTGTTTGCTATAATTATGTATAAAGTTTAAATCTCTTAAAAATATCACACACACATGGCATATATGATACATATTAATTACATTTACAGTTCTTTATGTATAATGTAAGATGTAACTAAAGACTATCATATAGTTTATACTGACGAGTAATCAAATAGAGATCAGTGGTGTTTGCTATAATTATGTATAAAGTTTAAATCTCTTAAAAATATCATCAGACATAGATGTGATCCTGATTGAGAGAGAGGTTTCTTACTGATTGAGTTTATTAAGTTAGACAATTATGCCACTTTAATTATATACACAAACACACACTGATATGAATGACAGTGATACAGTTTAATATGTATAGTAGAAGTATTTTCATTTATAAAGAATTTAAATAGAATCAATAGAGAAAAGGATAAAGTGGTGAGAGTTGGTATGCAAGATGTTTTTAAGTATATAACGACGTACTATAGTTAAGTTTTTTTTATACATTTCTTTTTTTCTTCCTCTTCCAATGGATAGGGTAGTCAAAGCAGCTTACAAAATGGCCACTTGTCACCACTTCCAAGCTTACCACGACAGATAACTCAGCTATATGATGTCGGGAAGTTGATCGGAGATGGAAACTTTGCTGTAGTCCACCACTGTATTGAAAAGTATGTTCACATATCAAGCTTTTAAATTATGAATTCAGTTATTTCTCCAAAACAAAAACATTAAAGATGTGGTAAGTTTGGAATTTTGTCTGGACTCAACCTGCCTTGATTTTAGAGAAGTCTTTAATAATTCTAGCAAAACTTACAAATTACCTTGCACAGGTATAGTTTATTTTATATAAGAAATGTCTTAGAAAGAAACCTCTTAGATTTTTAAATCTTTAGGAAAGCCTTTCTGTCAACCCTATGGAGATGGGGTAATACCTAATGAGCATAGCTCATATGGAGAATGATACACAGTGCAACAATATTTATGATGACTCTGAGCTTTCTTAATATATCTTTATAAAAATTGGTCAGATTTTGTTAAGGTTACAAACATTTTGTAGAAGCTGAAGTACCAGTCCTTTGTCTGGGTTATGAACTTAAAAAATGTGGGGCTGAATGTTATGATAAATAACACAAAAATCCTAACTTTCACACAGTTTATTTATAACATTATTACAGTATTCATTATTACTTCATTTAAGGTTTTGTATAAGCTTTAAGAATTCAATATGTTTATACTTAAAACATGGTATACAGTATGCGATGGTCAGGGTGATTTTGTAGGAAGAGGTAGTGTCAAAGAAGTGGTGGTATGGGTGCTTTCTTTTATCTGCTTGCAACATCCAGCTCAATGTTCTTCGACAGTACGTCACATGATTAATTAATTGACGATCATTGGCCAAAGAAGTGTCTTACGGGCCAAAGTTGAAAGGTCACTAGTCAAAGTAGGAAGTGAGTATAACTCAAACAGCTCTTCATATCAACCTTATTGTGGCTTTTGGAGTGGAAACTTCATCTGAGTTTATTTATTTTTGGAATAGTGACAGCCTTTTTTCTTAAATTACATTTCTCCAGAGAGAGAGAGAGTTGTTGACCCCCCTCCCCCTCCATTATCATGCCCCTTTTTTCCAAACTATCATCATTTTGGTTGAGATTAGCTCAGGGACCTAAGAGTAGATAGATAATGGACAAAAGACAAACACACAGATTTTATAGTGATATATGTACATACCAAGAATGATTTTTTTTATCAAGTATTTCCAATATATTTATTTATTGTAGTTATTTGCACACAAACTCTGAATTGTTCGAATGCAAGGTGATTTTCATGTAAAGTATAAAAATACGTCTTACATTTTATAGTTTTCCAATGTTATTTGGGTAACTTCTAGAACCTTCTAAATGAATAGCATAAGTTGTTATAAGGTAAATGTTTATATTTTGTATTTTCTCTAACGTATTAAATGTAGCTATTATCAATGTTTAGTGTAATGAAATGCTTAAAGAAATATTTTCATACCTTTTATTTTTTGTCAAATAATCTTGAACACTTTCTTTTGGTTACATTCTTACTTGCATGTCTTTACCTTTTCACATATAACTTATTTTTAATGTTTTATTTTCCATTCCTGTCCTCTAGCATTTAATTTTTCATTGCGACACACGAGTCCACGTGGGCATCCTCGGCCAATATTACAATATCACAGGCTGAGAAACGTTAGCCATTAGGTAGAATGGCACATGTGCTAACCCTCATGAACTGAGAATATGGTTTATATTTAAAAATTATTAATCCTTTTAAATATGCATCTTAAAACATAACACAATTAAGTAAAATATAAAAGTAAAACCTAAATGCAATCCAACTGTGTATCTAGCATATTTCTAGGTGAGAAACAACACTGAAGTGGAGAGGACAAAGGCAGCAACAATGCTAAGAGTGGTTTGACTAGTTCTCTATGGAATTCTTTGCATCAATTTTAAAATAACTGTTAGGAGAAACATATGGCTGAGAAATCAAAACTGTGTGTAGAAAGTGGGCAAGACACATGTCAAGAGTTCAGAGAAATTTATTTCTTCTTTCTCCTAAGATGCCTTAAGGAGCTTGAAAGAAAAATGTGCAAATAAATCAATTAACCTAGATTCTTTTTTATATGTGGACGGTTTAGTATATGTCAAGTTGTATTCAAGTTACAAAGTCCAAAAGTTAAAACATTTGAGAAGTTGTGCATCAAACTGACGTTTAAGAATTTTTCTTTAAGGTTTCTTTTGAAATAAAGGAATTAAAACTTAGATAATATAAAACTCTGAACTATAATGTAAAGGTTAATACAAATACATTGGTATACATTGATTGTAGGATTGCTTAGTTTTCAGCTTGTACACTTTGTTGATAAATACTTTTTTTAATAAAATGAATGATAGTTTTGAGTAAGTGCAGGTCTTTTTATTGTAGGTTGGATTGTTCTTGAATTTAAAATGTGAGTTTTTAAAATTAAGTGTTGTGTGTTAATCCAGTCAGTGGTTAGATTGCTGAACTGTGGATTGCGGGTCCATTGTTCAAAAGAATTAATCATGCTTCCCACTTTGGGGCTGTGTGCGAGTTCTAAAGATGAGGGAGAAATCCCATTATTTGGTCAGACAAAAGTAGCTAAAGAGTTTGAAGTGGGTGCTGTTGACTAGTTGCCTACCCTATAGTCTATAAACTTAAAATTAGCAAGGACTAGCCCAAATAGCATTTGAGCAGCTTTGTATGAATAGCCAAAAACAAATCTTTGTGTTAAGTGTACAGTAATCTATCTAAAGGTAATAATAAAACTAATAATAATTCAAACAAGAAATCTTATGCACAAGTTAAAATCCTATATTACCTATTGAGCAGTTTCATATATTTGTAACTTTATGTGCCAACAGATTGCTTTTATGTAATTCTACTTTTTTAACAGTCTGTAAAACATCATGACAACATAATAAACTTTTATTCATCTTCAAGCACAGTGCATAATTAATTTTCTGTTGAGTCTGAGTAGTCCTTTCTCATATTGAAATAGATCAGTTATTATTTAAAATTATATGTCAACAGAAATACTGTGTGTACCATTGTAGGTCTTGCTTCGATATATATAGGTATACATTCAGTAGATGAATTGCTTGTTGAAATTTTCAGCTTGTACACTTTGTTGATAAATACTCTTTGTAATAAAATGGATGATAGTTTTGAGGTTTTTTATTGTAGGTTGGAC